AAGAAGAAGAAGAAGAAGAAGAAGAAGAAGAAGAAGAAGAAGAAGAAATAATTTAGTACCCTGAAGGCTAAGTGCTACCAGGAATTTCTCTAAGAAACCACAGGGAAAGCCTGAAACTAAGTCAGGATATAATGACATACTTGGAATACAAGCTTGTTCTAAAACACTGTTTAGAACGTGGACTTAATCTCAAAGTTTGAAACACGCTCTGTGTAAGCTCTAAACAAGTATCTGTTACTTATAATCAATGACAAAACAGCTGATTATGCCTTACAGTAAATATTATATATATTTATGACTATCATATGGTGACCACTAAAATCCCTAAATTAAATTCTTAGTCCTAACAGTTGACTTACTCTTCTTCAGGAGGTAACCTTTCTTAACAATGTTTTTATAAAAGGCATCCTTTGTTTTACGGCGAATTGTATTATAGATTTCCTTTCCATCGACAGTATCATTGAGTACTTGTTCTTGATCCTGAATTGTAAAGAAACATTAAAATTATTTATGAAACCATATCCCATCACTAATTAAAAAGCAAGTGAAATATTTCTGTTAAAATCTAAATTTAAATCTTACAAAGAAATTCCCAGAAAGCTTATTATTTCTTAAGAACATGCTTCAAGGGCAAATGCTATTTCAAAACCTCAGTGAGCCTGTGTATTCTACATCAAATGAAGCTGTTTAGAAAGTATCTACTTATTCCAGAATTAACTGGCAAATCAGGAGGCAACATGAATTAGAGCAAAGTCATGCTGGTGAATACTATTATCTCTGAGAAACACCAAGCTGAGACTAGAAAACTAGCCAGTTGATTCCGGACAGTCCCCACGTTAACCCTCAGTTCAGCACACAGGACACAGAACACTGTCACATCCACACTTGGTATGTCTTTTCTTAAGTTTTTTATTTACATTTTATTGCTTTATAAATAATACCATTAAAAATTTCCATTCTTTACAAGCAATCTGAATTAAGAGTCTTTTCTTCCCACTACTTCATAGCTTCCTCTTGTTTCAATACTTTAGATGCCTATATCTTTTTTTACACTAAAGTACAATATTTATTATAATCTTTACATAGTTCTTTTTTTTAAGGATATTTAAAGCCAGACTACATTTTTCAGTTCCCATTCTATTATGTATCAATGATGAAATGTTTTACTTTGAACTCTTATTTTTCCTGTAAGTTCTAGGTCTTTATTGCTTGATTTTTACATAAAAGGCTTCAGTAATGCATATAAGACAGCTGACATCAATTGTTAAATTGACTAAAGAATTATGTCACAAAGAATGTACAAAAACATGATCTTCCTATATAAAATAATTTTCAATTGTATCAAGGTATGTTAAGCTGAATGTTAGTCTTCCTATTCATTAATAGCAATTCTTTTATTTTTGAAAGACTACTATTTTATGGTATTTAGCTATTTTGGGATGCTCTGCAAAGCCTACTCAACTTATTGTAAATACAGAACATTAAGCCATTTTCATGATAACCTTTATGTTCTATTTTTGGACATTATACTGTTCGTTTCCTTATTCAGCAATTATGCCCAGGCACTAAGATGGTAAGAAAGAGAAGCATTAATTACCTGATATAAAGGTGACAAACTATGGTATGCATGCTAAGTTGAGCCCATTTGTGGTATTGTGGTTTGAACCTAGGACATTCTGCATGCTAGGCAAGTGCTCTACTGCTCAATTATATCACCAGGTGCACCACCTCCAAACCTAGTCCTCAGTTTTCGTACAAAAAGTTTTTCTGAACCTCAGACATGTTTATTATATATTGTCTGTAGTTCTTTTCAATTACCAAGGGAGACTTAGCATTTGAAATTGATTGGACATAACCTGGACCTTTTGTCAGTCCCTGGTAAAGACAAGGATGCAATGGTGAAATAACCCCTTCTCTGTTGTATCACCGTTGTCTTTTAATGCACTGCCAGGTATTACAGCATCTTTAAAAGGGTTAAAAGGACACTTTCTTATCTTTTGTTATTAGTCATTAAACAGCTAATTAAAACTTTATAGACTTTTTAATCTTCTGCTATGAATGGTAAAAAGGAAATGAGAAGGAAAAAGAATGTTCACCAGAACAATGAATGAATTTAAAGAAATACCTGTACTCTGCGTTCTATAGAGAGGAAAATGACTTTAATAACAAAATCTCTTACTATGATATATACAATGAAATTATTCATATTTGTTAAAATTTTTACATCCTATTTATTCATAAGGGTAGTGAATTAATGATGAAAAATTATATAAAAGGTTTATTAAAATAAAACACATAAAAGATTAGAAAAAAAACACTGGAACATTTTACTTGGTATCTGTAAGTATAAAAATATTTTACAATTAGAGAACAATAAACCCTACTTTTCAACAAAATTTCCTTCAGTGTTTTCAAAAGCATCAGTTTTGATGAGGTGAACCACATTCGTGATATTTAAAGTTTGTTATTAGTACTGATTTTAAGAGCCAGAGTAAATACAAGCAGGACTTATCACAATACACAAGACAGGCTGTTCCAAGTGCACATAGAGAAGCTGAAGAGAAGTTAGCTGCACTCCAAAGACTTGCTAATTTAAGAAAGCTGTGAGTATACATGAGGAAAATAAAAAGCAAAAGCTTGCTATACTTAATCACTCATAACATTTTCTGTAAAACTTGTTTAGGTTTATTCATTTCTTATACACATTATGTGTTAAAGTACTTAAGTAATTTAAGCATTAAAATAGACTGAGATTAAAATTAGTATCAATTAATTTCCATGTTAATACAAATCTGTACTCATCACTTTTTATTCCATGGGTGACAGTCTGCGCATTAGCTATAGAATGGGGTTTTATCATTTAAAACATACCACATTCATACTTAGCCTTAAATACGTGGTTCCAAGGTAATCTGTAAGTGTTGTATGGTTCTCTGTATGCAGGTGTGTGTGAATGTGGAGGCTTGAGAACACGGACATTTCCCCATCTTTCTCCACCTTTTGAGACACTGCCTCTCCCTGAATTTAGAGCTTGACAATTAAGCAAGACTAGAAGGCCAGAGAGCTCCAAAGATCCTGCTGTCTCCACTGTCTCAGTTCTGAGATTAGAGCTGTACACCACTGCATCTAGTTTTTTTTTTTTTTTAAATGGACTTGGGGAATCAAATTCCCAGTTTAGTAAACAGCAAGCATTTTACTAACTGAACCATATGTCCAGCTTTTTAAAAAGTTAAATTAAGGTATACTGACCTACAAATCATTACGGATTCCAGTATCTTCTAAGGCATGAGTAAGAATGCAGCTTCACTTGCAGGTTGCAATAAATCACTGAATGATAGCAAGCATTTCCTTATCTTGGCCCACTTTCTACACAGTTCTGAACAAGGAGATCTCATCTTACACAGTCCTCCCTGGGAGTAGTAGATAAACAGAACCCACAGGCTACAGAAGCCAGACTTCAATTCTGACTTTGTTACTCAATGGCTAAAAACACCATTCAACAATCAACACACTAAAAAAGTCACAGATGAGTACTTAAAGTTTTAATTAGAGAAAGTCAATAAACATAGTAAGTACATTATATGTTATAAACATAGCGATAAGTAGAGTGCTTTGCAAAGTAAAAGCAGAGGTGGTGTTGATCTCTAAATCTCATTGTAAAGCTAATTTTTTTGGTAAAATTTTGAATAACCAAAAAAAATTAAGTAGATTTCTGAGATAAAAAAAAAGTTAAAAGATTCAAAGGAAGAAAAAAAGCCTAGTATATTTATAAATCACAAACAGAGTCAAAATATGGATTCAGTAACAGATAAGGACAGTAGAATAAAGTAGGTTGGGAAGGCTGAACTATCAGTATGCAATGTTGTCTGCTACAAAAGGGATTTTATCTTTTATTCTGAAATATTGGACATCTTCAAGTATTAAACATAAGAAGGGACCCAACTCACATTATAAATGGACACCTCTGACTGTTCTATGGTGTAAGGGGGAAAAGACACTCACAATGAAACAGATCAGTATTTTTTGTGTTGTTCATATTCCGAACATATTTTGAAGTCAGAGTAAGAAGGATGTCCCCAACAGATCTGACATAGAGATCTGACAAAGAGAACCAAGGATGATTTAGTCCCTGGAGAAATATGCTTAGCCTTTCTATAGTTTAAATTTTGTTATTAAGAAATATAAAATAGGCATATAAAATAGTGTCAACTAGACCAAACTGCTCAAGTAATTAATTAGAATGCATATAAAATACCTTAAATATATTAAGAAGTCTTCTATAATTTTGTATTTTTTAATGTTTCTATTTATTTTCTGTTTAGGAGCAATGGTGTGGGAGGTCCTTCTGTCTCTGTGTTGCCTTTATTGGTCAATGAATAAAGAACTGCTTTGAGCCTATGGCAGGGGAGATTGGACTGAAAGCTGGGAGAAGGAGGTAGAGTCAGAGGGAGGCCATGGAGCTGCCGCCAGAGTCAGATATGCTGAAACTTTGCTGGTAAACCACGGCCACGTAGAAATACACAGATTAATGGAGATGGGTTAAATTAAAATATAAGGGCTAGCCAATAAGAAGTTAGAGCAAATAGGCCAAGCAGTGTTTTAACTAATACAGGTTCTGTGTAATTATTTCGGTCTGGGCAGCCAGGACAAACATGTGCCTGTCTTCCAACAAATGATGGTATTCACATGGCACAGGACATGTGTAGGGCTCAGAGGACAATTTAGAGTCCGTTATTTCCTTCCGTCATATGAGTGCCTGGGACTGAACTCCTTACACAATGAGTCACCTCACCAACTCTTTTCTTCTAGTGTCTCATCCATCATATGCTAGCCTAGTTCTAGGACTTGTTTATTTCTATTTTAGCTAATGTCTGGGTATATAAGGGTTCAAAACTGAGGGGAGGGTTAGACTGATTTTGCTAGCTGGTCAGGTTGTTCATCAGAAAAAGGTTATTATTAATAGCATTTGTATTTTCTAATAAATGGCCAATTAAAAGACAGGTATATGTTTTGATTCTTCAAACAAGGAAACACCAAACTCTTTTCACAGTACTTTCTGTATCTTTACTTTACCCATTCTACTTAAAACAAAACAAAATTTCTTCTTTTTTTGCTATTGTTTAAAGACATGGCCTGGAACTTACCATGTAGACCAGCAATCCTTCTATCTCTGCCTCAGGAGCACGAGATTACAGGTGTGCAAACCTCAGTCACTGCTACAATCCTCTCACAGTGCACTTCGGAGAGGACGAGAGTCACACAGACCAGGTTACTTGGTCTGCACATTAAGCAATATTTATAGGCTCTCTGGTTCCACCATCCCTGCCTTATCTAGGACCTTATTCAGCAAGTGCTGCACTCATTACATCATTCTCACTGCCCTTTTACTCTTTACTCGAGTATACAGACGTGCTCTTTCCCTGATAAAACTAATGAATTAAAAAAAATTGAAACTTCTCTTGGCCTTAATATTATTTCATCATTCTGTTAAGCCTACATAAGACTGGCTGTGAAAAATCATGCCACCTTCATTTTTCCCTCAAAAGAATTCCCTCCTTTCCCTAGTGTTAATCTGTCTTCACTATTGCTATCATTCCTCAAGAAGGTACCAAGTACTGTAAGCCTGGCAAACAACCCAGGTCTGTGGGGTAGGGGGACGGGAACGCACACACAATTTACACCACTCACTTTACCACCCAGGCAGCAGAAAATATGTGAGAGCTGGAAATGGGTGAAGGCTACAAATGCTATTCTCTAGGCTCAATATCAACTCACAACTGCAGGTATGTGTATACTGTGTCCGGATGAGCCTGGTCCTGTCAACAATCAATTGCAGAACGGGGTGGGAGTCACTAGGTATTACTCTGTATGTCTGATCTGTATGTATGATCTGTATGTCTGATCTGTATGTATGATCTGACTCTGGGAGAAGGGAGAATCACTGTCTTCAGCTGTGATACCAGTGAGCACAGCACGACTTCAACGGACAATTCCAAACACATGATTACACAGACGCCCTGGTTAAACTCTGTGGGTCACAAAACAAAATGAATAGACGGAATGAGAGGTATTTTTATGGAGGACATGGGGTGGACCAGGGGTGAGGAATAAAAGTAGTCAGTAGGTATGCATACAGGTGTAAAAGTAAAAAAAAAAAAAAAAAGTTAATAAAAATAAAACAAACCAAAGAGAGAAAAAGAAGATACTAAGGACTTCCTTCCTTGGTATCTACTAACGACTTACTAATGAGATTATCTAATGAATGAACAGAATTAAAAAGTAAGAAATTCTCTTACAATTCATGATCTAAATAATCTATAGTTTTAAATTTTATCTAGTTCTAGCAGAAGTTTATATAGCCATTACAAAAATTACTTTTAAAACAAGACACTAATTATTTCAAGCAAGAAAAAAAAATCCACACTGACCTGCATTGGTACAGGCTCCTTAAGATAATAGCCTTCAACAATCTGTTCTTTCCGGTAGTGATCTATGATGTCCCCAATACTGTTAAAATAATAAATAACTCTATAAATTTCTTAGAATACAAATAAACCATGTCACCAAGGACTATCTATTCATATGTAGTTTTTGATAGCACACAATCACAGAATAAACTATTATAAGAGTCACATTATTTTATAAAAATATAAAATTTTATAAAAATAGGTTCGCAGGAATATATAAGCTAAAGATTTTGGTTTCCCACATATATTAAACACACAGTCAAGTCAATGATACTACACACAATACTCTAACAGTGACATTCAGTGAGAAAATGATTACAAGTTATGGTCTTTGTTTTTCTTTAAAAGACAATCCTTCGGACATATGAAGAACTAACAAAAATTGCATTTATTTAGGAAATGATAAACTAAGAACTTATGTCATCAAATCGCTTATACATTTGTTTTTGCTCAAAATGTCATTAAGTCATAATACATGAATAGTTAGGTGAAAATACAAGTCAAAAGAAAAAGAAAAACTAACATAATTTTGCTTGTATAGTGGTCACTCTGGCAAGGAAGAATTAAGTAATATTGATTAAAAAGTACCAACAATTGTTCTATATATTTGGGAACTATTACTAATGAAACTAAAAGTAAAATGCCATAACACATCGTTTAGGATGCTGCCAAATTTCTTTTAAATAAATAAAAGCATCTTCTATAATTATTAGGTCAGATTAAAGACAGATATTTACTTTCTGGAATTTTAAACTTTCATTTTATATACTAAATGGAGGAGTAATTTTAAGATAACCAAAAAAAATATGTTTCCAAAAGAACTCTGCTAACCTGCCCCTTGATTTATTCTTTCCATAGTTCTTCAGAGTGACAGAGTAACTGCCATACTTTTGTGTGTGTATATATATAGTTTCAAGTATCTTTCCTATACTACAAAATTTAAATTAACTATAATATTCAAAAGTAAAATATAAAGATTAATAAAATAACTATAAATACAGATAAATATTAACACAGTAGAAAGGTGGAGTGAAAACAAGATTTTTTCTGAAAGGATATGGAAAATAAATTTTGAAAATAGGGTAAATCTAAAATTGTTTTAAGAAAAATGAAAACCAGAAAGAATAGAAAACAGCTAGACACCATCACAAAGATGACTGTTCTATGCATGGGAAGATAGGTGTAAAAAGTGTGTGGTCAATCCAGGAATGGAAATTTCAGGAAAATCTATAGAATTAAAATGCTGTAAAGTTATATAAATGATTCTTGGTAAGATAATTTAAAATTAAATTTTAGAAATCTTGAATGGAGGCACCCTGTGTAGGTAGCATTTGTATGATGGCATGTGTGTGTACCGTGGCATGTGTGTAGAGGGCAGAGGGCAGCTTTTGAGGATCAGTTCTCTTCCCCCAACCACGGGTTCCAGAAAGCAACTCATGTCAGGCTTGCAGAATGTGGTTTCTGACTCTGAGCTATCTTGTCAGCCTTTAGATTTCTTTCAAAGAATTAAACAAACAAGCAAACCTAGAAGTAAGGTACCTGAGCATTTTAAGATTAATACATCCACAGGGAATAGAAAGTCAGATTTTGGGAGTGGTAGAGACCATTTTTAATATTATTTTGCAAGCACTCTAATAATTTTGCAAAAATTTGTAAAAAGTTCCTGATTTATTTCTTCTTGTTCCATTGTGGTGTCTAATTACAAAGACTACCTTTATAAGTCTTATCAAGAACCCATTTATAAAAAAAAAAATTCCAGGTTTGTAGAGATGAAGTTTAGATCAAAACAAATAATAGCAGGTAAATTAGTTCACACTTGTAGACAGAATGGCAACAGCCCCCACAGACCCAGAGAGAGGCACTATTAGGTGGTGTGGCCTTGTACAAAGTGCATCACTAGGAGTGGGCTTTGAGGTTTCAGAAGCTCAAGCTAGGCCCAGTGTCACTGTCTCTTCTACTGCGCGCGCATGAAGATACAGAATCAGCTACCTCATCTGCCTACACACTGTCATGCTTCCTGACATGATAATAATAGACTAAACCACCAGCTCCAGTTAAATGTTTTCCTTTCTAAGAATTGCTATGGTCATAGTATCTCTTCACAGCAGTAAAACCTTCTTTAAAAAAAAATCTCAATTGGATATTTAGTAATTTAGTTGCATATGCATGCTTTCAAATATATGTTCCCAAAACTTTGATAATGGGAAAATCTAATTTAAGACAAATTAAATTTAGAGCAAGCTAGATTCAAGGTGAAGATGTCTAAAGTCAAGGTATTGGGTAGCTTAATATGAGTTGTGCAAATGTCTAAAATTATACCTTTGATTTAATGTTTTATAACTGTCCACTAAACTTCTGAAAAGCAAAAGATCTTGTCACTGTAATTTTGTTTTTTCCAGATAAGCCAGCTATTGGAGCTTTATTTTCTTAAAACTCAGACTAGAATTTAGGGAATTCTAATGAGATGGGGAATACTAGGGCATGACTAACAAGTTAAAAACAAGATTATGTCAGCCGCCAAAAGAGAAAACACTAGTTCTCTCTTATTAAAGTCGGCAGTGTTTCATTCAACCTTTTCTGTTCCAGAATATTGCCGCTCTGCATCTTACAATTCCTCTACTAATTTCTTTCCTAAGTAAGAAACTAAAATTTATTATGAGTTTTAAGACAAAGTTTTCTCAGAAGTTGAGAGGTATAAACTAATCACAACACACAAAAACTATCAACTTGAGAGAATAATCCAAATACATAATGACATTTGTAAAACCCAGATGACTCCTAGGAATTACCTACAATTAGCCTATATATAAATATTTGATTAAGCAACAAGGTATTTGGGAGTTGACAAGTTAATAATATTCATGTTTGACACTTGTTAAAGCCTTCTCAGATAAGACTACAACTACTGTATTAGAAACTGAGAAAATTTTTTGAATTCAATTATTTTTACATCTAAAAGTTAATTTAAACCGTTTCATGATTTACCTGTTATAATATCGGCCTCCCATCATAAACTGGTTATTAGGTGTTGGACAAATTTTAAATCGCTGAATATTTTCATTGGTCCGAAAATACAGGGAATAATCACCAGGAGTATTATCTGAAGGCCTCACAAGAAAGCTGCAGACCTGGCCAACTGTAAAAATTAAGTTGTTAGCTTTATACTCTATCAAATAAAAAGAAAGTACATTATGTAATCTAATTAGGAAGTATATTCAAAGTCATAACCACATGCAAATTTTATCATAAAACTTTAAGACAGTGTTTTCCTGTTTTCAGTTTATGACTCACTGGTGCTCTTGACTAGTCTTTCTTAAACATCTCTAACAGTGACTTCTAGAGTAAGGTCTATGTCCTTCGTTCTTAGAAAGAAGGATCGGACAGTTAGTGACAGTAACTAAAACTTACATCGTATAATCTCAACATCTTCAATTGTTAAACTAATTTTGACTAATAGTCAGTACTTTCTCTGGATCTCCAGTAGATGACTTAAAAGCAAAACTTTAATATAACTAAGTGCTTAATTACTTAAGTATCTGAGTAATTATCATAGACAATAAACACATCTCATATTTTACTCACTAGGTGTCATCCTGAAAAGGTGTGCACACAAAGGACCACCTTCAATTAACAGTGATTCCTAATACTATAATGTTTCCTTTGTGGTTAAGAACTGGTTAACAAAGATGGGTGGTGAAGCCTCACGCCTTTAGTCTCAGCACTCGTGAGGCAGGGGCAAGAGGATCTCTGTGAGTTTGAGGCCAGCCTGGTCTACATACTGAGGTTCCACAACAGGGTCCAAAAATACACAAAGAAACCCTGCCTCGAAAAAAACCAAAAAACTGATTACCAGAAAGATTAGGAATTGACTCTTGTAAGAAAGCATAACTAACACAATATCTATCACATGTAATTCCTGTATAAATGAGTGCTACGTTTAACCATCCAGCTTACGTTCCTGTTAGCAAGTAATTTGGTTGGTAATCAATACAAGGAAGTAAAATGTAAACCTTCTAATATTGAATTTTCAGAGTAAATAATAAAAATCTGTAGAAAGTGTGCAGTTAATATATAAAGAAAACTCTTGTCACAGTGCTGATACTCTCTGCCTCTTCAATGTAAGATGGGAATCACATGTAAATTTATACATGAATGCACTTGTGTAATTTCAGGAAAGTGGCCACTCTTTCAAAAACAGTATATAAATAAACAAAAATACAAACTAATATGGGAAACACCTTAGATTCTTTCCATGTTTACACACCCTAAAAAACTAAAGGATGCTTTAAAGTACCTGGTGACTCAATTTGTAAGTATTAACTACACCAACAACTCACTAAAATGAATAGTTCCCAATCTTTGTCAGACAGAGTTTACCAATAAATTAAGCTAGCAATAAGCAGTAATAATAAAGAGAAAAGTAACACGGCTGTTTCCTTAAATCACTGACTCTTAACCTTCCAAATGCCACAACCTTTAAATTTAGTTCCTCAGGTTTTGGTGACCCACACCAACTATAAAATTATTTTCATTTCTACTTCTTAACTGTAATGTTGCTAACATTATCAATTGTAATGTAAATGTTTTTGGTGACAGAGATTTGTCAAAAGTGGTCACAAACCATAGGTTGAGAACTGCTGCTTTAAGTAATAAACCCTTAATGTAAATTTGCATTTTCCTGTAACAATCATAGAAAATAGGAATACATTTTAAATTTGGCTAAACTGTGAAATTCCACCATGCACACAAATAATACAAGAATGTACAGTGGTGCACATCTTTAATCCCAGCACTCAGGAGGCAAAAGAGGGCAGATCTCTGTGAGTTTGAGGCCCAGCTGGTCTACAGAGTGAGTTCCAGGACACCCAGAAATACACAGAGAAACCCTGACTTGGGGTGGAGGTGGGGGTGGGAGTACATTATAAATGAATGGAAAAAAACTGCTAACATGGTATTCCTCTATTGATACATTGTATGTTATATGGTATTTGTAAACTAGAAATCATATGATCAATAAAAAGGATGACAAAAATTTGTATTTGTCAATATGAAATCTTTTCTGGATATATTTCTTATCATTAAAACGTAGGTTGTGTATCCTAAGTACATTATATGTAGGATATACCTGAGATACACACACAAAAATATTGTATCACAAGATCATAAGCTTTAAATACATGGTGAAGGAAACAGGGACAGGGGCTAAGGAAAAAGAAAATATACTTCACAAGAGTTATTATACATGTACACTTTGACTTAAAACAAAATCAGAAAAACACTAGCTTCCCAGCATTGGGAAGAAATTATAATATATATAAGCATAAATCAAATGCTAAAGGAAAGCATAGTATATGAGAAAAGGCTTTTTCAATCTTATATTCTATAAATAAAGACATTAACGAGTACAAAAGTACCTGTCATTAATAAATTATAAGCTTCTTGTTTGGAAATCTTCCCATGGAACCATCTGAAAAGGAGAACAAATTTGAGATGTAAATTAAAAGTTCATGCACTGCTGCTTTCATATACTCAAAAGTAAGCAAAATTTTTATAATTCACATTGACATGAAATAAATACAATGGAAAAAATCAAACTTTCAGTCATTACATTTCTATTGTATTTTGGAAACTTACTGTGCTTTACTTCAGCAAAGTAAGAAAGACTAGGAACTGTCAAGTATAAACTACAATTTCCATATTATTTATGCTATTTTAAAAAGCAATGGATTTTGTTCTAGTGGTATCTGTTGCATGCTTATATCAGAGCTCCATTTTTACTCTGATGGCTTGTAGGGGATAGGGGAGGTGATTTAAGGAAGAAACAAATTATTTTCTCATGTTTCTCTCAAAATTATTTTCTTTTAACATAAGATCTCTCCCAATAAAATTAAAATGCTAACACAGGAAGGAACAAGTACATACCAAGAGACAGAACTAAAACGATTTTTAATTCTGAGCCTATCACTCTAGACTGCTAAAGATTTTTATTATCTGCATTTTGGAAGTAAGCATTTAGAAATTATTATAAACTATAATAGCTGAAATATGGCAGAATAAAATTTCAAGTACTCAGTATTTGCCTTTTTATAAAATGACATGTTAAAAAATTACTTGAGGATCAGGAATGGTGGCACACGCCTTTAATCCCAGCACTTGGGAGGCAAAGACAAGCAGATCACTACAAATTGAGGCCAGTATGGTCTACACGGCAAGATCCAGGCTAGCCAGGATCATACCACTTGAGTCCTTGTCTCAAAAATAAATTAAATCAAATTACTTAAAAGCCAAAGTTCTAAAGCTTTCCTCTTGTTTACATTAAATCCCATTTTCCTCGCACTGGTAATCTCAGATCTCTTCTCCACCTCTCTGATGCCTCTAAAGATCTATGAGTTAAGTTTCAGTTGTAAAGTATACATACTACAAGGCATAAAGCGTAGGTGTTCTAAGATGCAATGCTGCATGTTTAAAGTTCTTTCATTCTGCTTCAGATTAATCATTCTATTACTTGGGAAAGTTAAAATACAAATTAATTTTCAATTATTTCAACAATATAACTTACTAATTCAAATTTCCTGATGCTCTCAAAGCAGACATGAATAATGAAGAGGAAATAAACAATACAATCCAAAGCGATTTAAAATGTATGAGGCTATATACTGCATTTAAGTAAAGGCTAAACTACCATTTTCTCCACATGCTAGACTTGAACTCTATATTCTAAGAGAGTCAGCTAGATGGCATCCAAGACCAACCATATACTTTTCTACCCAGTAAAGAACAAACTTCAGAGTTAAAAAAACAAACAAACAAATAAACAGTAGTTAAGTTTTAAAGATGAATAATATTTTGAACTTTAAGAAAAATAGCCTCGAGGCAAAGGGGTAATGGGTAATATCATTTCCTGGAGTTATTCTTGTATAAAACTGTGTAATCCAATTACATGATTTTACTCAAGATAAAAAGTCCCTACTCTTAAGAGGTCCAGAACCTGATGGGAAAACAGTGTAGGAAGTACAGTGTGTGCTGGGGAGTTTGGAGAGGAATGGAGAAAGGACCTGCTTTGCTTTTCTGACCTTCAGGCTGAACCCCTGGGGTTTTATTATTCGTTTTACATTTAGTACATGTAAGGAACAACATGAAGATTCACTGAATTTAAATTTGCTAAGTTAGATAAATACATAAGCAATTGAAGGGTAATCCTCACCTGGGAAGCAGCTTAATAAAAGCATAAAGAAAAAAATAAAGCCATGCATCAGAAACCCTTACAAGAGGAGAGTGAGATGATAGGATTAATAGAAGGTACAGGAGAAAGAAAGGTCATCACAGATTATCGTTTGAAGCTCTGTTGAACTAAAGTTGAGAATCAGCTTGGGATTTTAGTTGAGACAGTGGTACTACCTGATAAGTCTTTTAGATAAATCACTCTAAGTATTGGAACAGAAAATGTAAGGAGACTATTTGGAGGGCCCAGCAGAAGGTGACTGCTATATCAGGTGTTATTAAGAATGACTACAATAAAGTTATGTATTACTGAAAAGAAAGCACATAGTCAATTGATGTGGGATGCCCTACTGTCTATGTATTGCTTTTGTTCGTTGATGAATAAAGCTGTTTTGGCCAATGGCTTAGCAGAGTACAGTCAAGAGGGAATTCCAAAGAGAGATATAAAGAGACAGTAGGCAGAGTCAGGGAGATGCCATGTAGCTACCAAAGGAGAAAGATGCCTCTGCTGGAACCTTTTTAATAAGTCACAGCCTTGTGGTGTGGTGATAAACAGATTAATAGAAATCGGTTAACCGAAGACATAAAAGCTAGGTAGGAATACACCTAAGCTATTGGTCAAGCAGTGTTGTAATTAATATAATTTCTGTGTGATTATTCAAATTTGGGTGGCTAGGAAATGAACAAGCTGTCTCTGGTTACAATCAATAAGTATTTTAGAAGAAAAAAATTATTAGAATTTAGGTATCGCCCATATAGAAAATATGGAGCACAAAGAAACTAAGTTAGACATACTAGCTATTTAATCTCAAGGGGATTTGCTGTGCCTAAGGATACTTTAAAAGATTTGCAGTAATTCACTTCCAGAGTCTCTACTTTAAATACTAAAGAGAATAGGCACATACATAAAATAAATCAACACAAATTAATTTACGCTAAATACCACAGAAATAGAAAGTTCAGAAAAAGAAAAGACTAATTTGTGTTAATATAAAACATAACAGTGAAGTCTTATACTTGACATTAAAAATGAGTGAAGTTTTAAATATTTACTGTCATCTTAGATCTGTACTATTTAAAAGGGACACAGGGAAATTTACGCTTTATCTTGAATATCTGACAAATTTCATAATACTGATTTCAGATTCATTTAGTGTGTGTGTGTCTGCGTTCAAACGTGTGGACACCATGATAAACACGTGAGAGTTAGAGGATAAATTGTAGAAGTCTTTCCTTCTCCCATGTGAGTCCTAGAAATTTAATTTAAGTCATCAGGCCTGCCAATAAATGCCTTTCCCTGCGGAGCCATCCCAACTGCTCCATGAATTCACATTCTTGCATATATTAACGAGAGACAGTGGTCACCTTAAGACATGCAAAAAATATTCAAGTTTTCCACTTCTGATAACCAGTAATACAGAACAATGAACGGCAGCTGCCACCTGCTACCACCCAAGCTGCTGTCCTTGTCTTCTGACAAGAGGGAAAGAAATGATGCTTTGCACTATGATCTCTATCAAGATGTTATAGAATGAAGATCAGGATTATTATGTTTGGAGCAAAATGGGAATGTGTGTGTGTGTGTGTGTGTGTGTACACATGCATGCACTTATCACATACAAACACACACATATATCTCCAATCTACTTTTGTTATAGTCTTATTTCTTCAAGCATTAACTAGAATTTGAAACTGCTGATACATACTTCGAAACAATCAACCAGGTATAGTTGAGTATTGGATTCACTTGTATCCATATGGAGTAATAATCTAAGAATGTACTCATAAGATATAACATATATTCTATTAAGAAAAAAAGATAATGAAAGAACTACATGTTGTATTCGGTTTAATATATTTCCTCTTCTAATGGCTAGAAAACAAGAAAATAAAATGTCTGAGGCAAGCTTTAAATTCCATCTATAAATGTTGACAGTTTGATTAAGAATAAAATGGAATGAAAAGATAATAGATGAATATTCCATTGAAATAATATGAATAAAATGAATACAACTGAAAGCTAAGATTTTAAAAGGAATCCTGTACATATAAAAGCAGTCTGAAAAACTTATTTTAAAAAACCTTTCTGGGTTCTACTAAAATTGTCAGAAATTCTCGCACATGTGCATAATAAAAACTGAATTTCAAAGTTCATTAATGATTTGGCCACAAAAGTCAATCCTATCATGAGTAAGAAAATGAGGAGAAGGAGGAGGAGCTGTGCTGACTGACAAGGCTTTAGTCTGGCTTGGGGTACAAGATTTGTATACAGGTCTAGGCTGCTGCTTGCCTTTTTCTTAAGGATCTATTATTGAGATCCTTAAGAAATATTTATATATCAGTTCTCTAACCAAATTTTAAAAGAAAATCAATCAATCTAAAATTCATCAAGTATTTTTGACTATTTTTCTAATTTACAGTCTAACATTATTTTTTTTCTTTCAATAATTAATACAAACTCACATTTTGCCTTCATGTGGATCTTCTTCCCGGCCCTAAAGAGAAGAAAGAGATTAAAACAGCAATTTTTTTTTTTTTGGTTTTTCGAAACAGGGTTTCTCTGTAGCTTTGGAGCCTGTCCAGGAACTAGCTCTTATACACCAGGCTAGCCTTGAACTCACAGGGATCCACCTGCCTCTGCCTTCCAACTACTGGAATTAAAGGCGTGTGTCACCACCACCCGGCAAAACAGCATAATTTTTAATATTAGAAAATTAAATCCTAATCTAATTTCATTAAAATTTCTAAGAATCCAATCTTCAAAACTATCTCCACAATACTTTCCCTAGTTGTGTTAGGAGAAAAGGCGTTTCTGTTCAAGAACTCGCACTATATAGTTGTCTGTTCTCTTCTCCCTGTTGCTGTCAGTTTAAATCAGACCCTTGCTTCTTTATAATAAATGATTAAAGTAGCCCAACTATAGTATATTACTGCTATGCCCATTCCAACCTCTCTGAATTCATTAGTGTCAACTGTAGATGTGCACTTAAGAATAAACAAACCAAATGAACAAACAATTTTAAAGTCAACCCTTTACTACCCTCTCTCCTGTCTACAGATTCCCCATGTTACAACCAATGCCCTTAACCATCGGCCTCAAGTATGTATTTCTGGCCTCATACTACCCACCTTCTTTCTAGGTGTCTCTGCCATGACCAAACTTAACTATTCATTTGCTAACCTATTTCACCTCTCTACTGGAGTTTGTGCTCTGTTCTGATTGTTGCCATCAGAATGTCCTTTCAATTCATTGTTACCTACCTCCTGAAAAAAAAAAAAAAAAAAAAACCAAGGCATTAAGGAAAACTACCTTAAATGCTACCTCCAAACAGTTTAACACTTTGACCCTAAAATGTGAGCACTTTCTTTTCTGTGGAATACAAAATACATACTCTCTTTCTGCCATCTTTAAAACCTTATCTTTTTCTAGTCTGTACTCCAGGTTTTAAAACTATTCTAATATTAATATTATTCATTCCAAAAATAGTGACTACCTTATTAAAGTCTAAGCTACTCTCTCTACCACCACCACCCAAACATGGTCTAAGTTCACAGTTTTCACTGAATATATAAAGAACTGTCATCATAGCAGCTTACACTGACTTTTCAATAAACTGATAATGAAAGGGAAAAAAGGAGAAAAAAATATTAGCAAGGACTTCTCTTAATTACATCCTCACTAAGTATTTAGTCAGACTAAAATCAGTCAATGAATGCTTACTATAGAAACTACAAAATGAATATTATAATTGCCCTCTCTCAAAAAAGTGCTCTATATAAGGAACACAGAAATAATGAGCACTGCGAAACAAAAGGAGAAACAATTTGGCCTAAAAAAAAGCATCTAGACATAAAATCTCTGCCAAAGGAAAAGAGAGAGAAAAAGAAGGAGACAGACAGACAGACAGACAGACAGACAGACAGACACACACACACACACACACACACACACAGCAAGAAGCGGAGAAGTTGGCACTTAGTAATAAATTAAGTTTCAGAAGGCAACCTAAGATAACAGACCAAGAGTGTGAAAACCAGGGCCCACTACAGGCATGGAGACTACATTCATCTCCTCAAACTTCACAGATGCCAGAGAATCATTCAGGGCAACAGGGACAGAGCAGTGAATTAGAACAACACTAACAAAAGCATGTCTTTTCTTGGAGCGTACAATCTAGAAATGAGACTTAAAAAAATGTGCTGATCTCCATCTAAAAATATATGGGGTAATTTATATTATGTACTAAGATGAATAATAACATATAATATGATAGCAAAGAAAAGAGGGAGAATATACAAGCTGTAGCACTTTGGGATTACTTATATACAATTTAAAAATTCCTAGATTATTAAAAATTATAAACACATTTGAAAAATTATTCCAAACATACATTTAAAATTCCTCTATGATTCAAATATATCCGATGAAGAACAGGAACACAAAAAAATACCAAAACAAATACAAGTGATAACTGAATTCACAAGCAGAGAAATATTTTCTGCAAAGGCAGCTATATATTACAACATATTAATATATTGTCTATTTCCTTGTACATAAATATCATTTATTAACACCAAAAGTCGTAAAATTTTCTTATGCTTATGAATTAAAGTTTCTCAAAAGAAATTTGTTCCTATCTAATAATCCAGAAAATGGACCAATTCTAAACTTTTATTAAGGACTCAAGATTTGAAATTTAGGAAAACATGAAACTCACCACCTCTTCTACTAGGTCTTCAACAATAAGGCCTTGTTCATCTGTTCTTAGATTTGTAACCCACATCCATCCATCTTCTAATTCATTGTGAACAATGAACATATCTCCTTTTAAAAAACTAAAATAGAAAATGACATTAATTCACAGCTAACCATTGTGGAAAAAAAAAAGAAAAGAAAATGACATTAAAATGTTAAAAATGGACACTGAAGTAGTCCTAAACTACCACACTGGATATTACAACATTGAAAAAAATGCAAAAAAAAAAAAACTTATAAAATCTAAAGTTCTGTGCTGTTTCTGACATTTTTAGTGAAACTGAAAACAGTTGATAATCTGAATCCTAATTTCATTATATGTACAATTTCATTATAGGTTCAAAAAGGGTGCCGATTTGCTGAATTACATTCAAATCAGAGTTCCTCTATCTACTTTGCTAGATTAGAGTAAAATTAAAATTCCTCTAATAGCAAACAATTATATATGTACTGGAAATAGTTCCAAGAAAACTGAATTTTACAGTTTAAGTTTCAAGTTATTCTTTCAGATGTATATGTAATAAAAAGCAAGATATGTATGAGAAATTCAGAAAATTTCCTTTAGATAATCTCACTTAATTTTACCATGTAAAACTAATATTAATTAGCATCTATAATCACATCTAATTTATTTGGTTCAAATGCCTACTGTGCAATGAGTACAGCTTTCTTTGTCTAAACATGGTACCCAGATGTGTTAGAAGCCATCTATGCTTCTTTTAAAACTATGTATTTCAGACTAGACGGATGGACACAGCTTAGCTTTCCTCTTTACTACCTAGATATTTTTAACCTCTAGACCATCAGGGTCATCAGTTGTTGACCGTTGTGTATCAACAATATAAAACAAAACCATCAGGAATTCTTTGCAATTTTTCTTCCAGGCTTAAAAAAAAGCCTCTAAACATTCTTCTGATGGGATGCTGCCACTGGCAATATGTCTATAAAGCATCTTCAAATAGTTTTCTGTAATTTTCTCTTTTAGCCTTAATACTCATAAAACTTAGTTTTAGTGGAAATTTTTATAAACAAACAAATAAAAATAAATAAATAAAAAATGTTGACATAAAAAACAATTTTACATTTAAAAAAAACTTAAGTTTTATTAAATGAATCCTTCTCTCAAATACTTGAAAGGTTTGTTTTCTCTAAATAATTACGATCATTATTGTTCCTCAAATTTCAGAAAACAAAGCTTGTACAAAGCAGAATTTATACACAGAACTCTGTATTCAAAAAGCCACAGAATAATATCATCTTGATTCTTAAGTCCTCCTTAATAGTGCCCAATATTTTCCAAGATAAACGGCAGCAGATTTTATCACTTAACCAAATCAATTAAGCCTTTCTAAAACCACTTTCCCAGCTGCTAGAATAACACACGTACCATTACACCTATATGAAGTGTTTTCTCTTTTCATTTACTATAAGAAATACTAGAAAGACATACAGTGAAAGGTCAAAACAGAATAGAATAAGCATTTTGCTTCCACATCCAGAACATCAAATGAAGCTATTTTTGTTTAGTCAGAGCACTAAGCACTTTAGTGCTGTTCTCTGTTCTATCCTCAGATTGGAACTTACATTGACTAAAATGGTCTCCTCAGGCCTCTAGACTTAATACAATTACAGCATTGGTTTCCTGAATCTGCCTCCAATTCTTGAAGTAAATTTTCTCTGGAGAAGCCAGAGCCAATGTGCTCTCTGAATGAGTGTCAGATCAACAGTCAGAAGGATTATACTTTGAGAACTGCTACCTTAGATGATCAGACTGGAATGTTACAAATTTTCTAATACTGTTATTTCAATACTTCTTACCTTTACTAAATGACTTTCTTTCTTGTAGTTGCTTTTATTCATTTCCCACACTAATTCACAAATAAGTGTGCCAATAAGAATTAAATGAGAAGTCATTATATTGAAGACAACTATATAAAAATGGAACCTTTATTTTGAGATTCAAACTACTAAATCTGTTTTCTAATAATAATTTCATAAGTCTTTGTTTTCTAATACTAATTTCCAAAAATTTTAGTGCCACAAAAAATGTTATTGTATTATCCTGCTATTTCAAAGAGACACTATATAGTCACCAACTATTCAGAAGCAGCCAAACATTTTATAGTTAAGAAAAAATGTTTCTATAGAATAAATATATAGCTTCCAGCGAAGGATAATTTGATTATGAAACCTTATAATTAATTTATAATCAAATTATATGCAAATCCAAACAAAAACTATGATTCTCTATGGTTACATAAGTCTTGAAATTTAAAAATATTCACCCATTATGCAAAATTCAACAATTATATTCAGTATCACTTACAGATGAGGCATGTTACAGGTAATAAAATACAGAAAATAAATAAATGAAAAAATGAATAAATGAACAAATTGTGAAAGAACTCTACTTTCTCAGAAACCATTTTATTAAAAAAAAAAAAAAAGCTGTTACTTCCTCTGTCATTTTCACTGTGGCCAACCTGATTTACATCTTCAGTCTGAATAGACAAGACATCCTCATGAGAACACAACAGACCCAACACCACAGACAACTGTATATAGCTGTCGCATTCCCTCAGATTCAAAACCAATGCTTGTTTAAGAGCAATAAATCTTCTTTGTCCAGCTCTTTCAAATGCTTATATGTAAGAAATAGTATAAAATACCTTATTTCATCAGTCTCTGGTACTTTTGTATAGGGTAGAATGGCTCGAACACGTCTTCTATCTTCTACTGGCTGGAAACCATTGAAAATAGTAATACTTAGGAGCAAGGGAGATGGTTCATGCCCCTATCCCAAAGTCTGAAAACCCAAACTGGATCCATTGAAACTTACATAAAAATGACTACAGGTGACAGGTGTGCCAGCTGTCTGTTATCCCAGCATTTAGGAGGTAAACTATCAAGTCAAACTTGCCAAAATGAAAAGCTCTGGCTACATCCAGAGACTTTGCTTAATTAGTTAATTAAGTAGAGAACAATCAAGGCAAACACCCAATGTCAACTTCTAGTCACCAGCCATGAGTATGCACATATAACCCTGACAAAGATACACATGAGTCTCTATACAGTCACACACACCTATATATTCGCATACACAATCAAAAAAAGTTACTATCTGTATCCAAGTCAAAAAGATACATCTACACAAAGCTTAACGCCAACTGAATATTATAACTCCATAGAATTATTTAAATTAATCCTTACTAAGCCTCTATAAAGAACCTAAAAATGTTTGCTACTCTCGCTAGTCAATTTTACAGAAATTAGTGTAAAAGTACAACAGAGGTATTTTTTCAGATAATCTGAATAACCATTAAATAAGCTACACAGAATACATAAATTAATCTTCATTTTACAATGTAAGACATTTTAACTTCCCTAGCAATTACGGTAAGCTATAAATGCAAAGAATTATCTTAAAAATCTAGTTACTTTAATACAAAAATTATTTTAATAAGAAAACTAATTTTTATTCTGGCATTATAACCAGGATTAAGACACATAAAATTATAAAAGACTTAAGAAATTTAATCAGATCAAAATTCATTTGATTTTGTAAAATAAAAGTTATTGTATTTCATTCATGTTTTACTTGCCTCTGGTGGTGCAACTGGATAGAGTAATTTTTCTCCTTTAAGTAAACAAGAAACATGACTGTAATAACCTATTAGGTCTGAGAGAGAAGAAAAACGCCTTCCACCAATGTAGTAATCTCCACACATAGCAATAATCCTAGTTAGTAAAAGGAAAAAACAAAACAAAACATAGTTTGAAAAGTATCCTAAAAATCAGTCTCTTTTATTCTTTTTTGAGTGAAAATTAAACACAGGTTCTCTACCATGGTGCTATGTCCCTCTAGCCCCTATGCCCATCTTCTTTCTTTCTCCTCTCTTCTTTTCTTTTTTTTTTTTTTGGTTGTTCTGGAACTCACTCGTAGACCAGGCTGGCCTCAAACTTACCTAGATCTGCCTGCCTCTGCATCCCAAGTGCTGGGATTAAAGTCTTGTGTCACCACTACCTAGCTTCTATGTCCAATTTTTAGAACTAAGTTTCATAAAGACAATTTTGTCAACTCCATGCTCTTTTCCATCAACATATATTCTTGTACTTCAAAAAACCATTTCTTCATATCATCATTGGCAACTGAGTGTTATTTTAAGTATTTATAAATTTAATATGACAACATATTTATAAGTTTCAATTATGTATCTCAATCAAATACTTGAAAATTTACTATCTTAAGATCTGTCTCCTCACTTTCTATATTTAAGACTCAGCTATTTTATAAAAATTGCTCTGGCTAGAAGTAGCTTACAAATCTCATGAAATTCATGTAGAATATAATAAAAATGCTACATAAAAATTATGATCAAATATTATTATGAAATTATATCTGTAAATAAATGTTTATAGAGATGACACCTTACTTGGAAATATACATACCTGTTTAACTCACAAAAGTTACATGTACAGAATTTAAGATAATGAAGCTAAAAAGACTAATTCTATACAATGTTTTCTGTTACTCTACAGTCCCAGTCTTTCATTTTAGCTTTCATCTTTTTCAAAATGTATCTGTAATAATACATTCCTCAAATCTGAGGAATATATTTGAAAACTGGCATCGTCAAGATTACTATTACTATCTTTAAACAAAAAGTTTCAACATCTCAAAAATATTTACTCTAAATCACTGATTAAATAACTTAATTGAAATCAAGTTAATTATACCATCATACACTTTTGTAAAAGTGAATATATTTATAAACATGTGTCAGATTAAATACCTAAGTGCCATATTAAATACCTTAAAGTCAGAACAGAGACTTACCTAAAATGGTTGACGACATTTGTCTGGCTAAGAAATGACAGTACAAAGGACCCCGGCCTCCGATCACTCTCTCTTATAAGGTAGCTTCCAGACTTTCCTGCCTGCCTGAGGCGTTCTTCTGCTATAGTTCTATCGAGTTTTCCATGATACCACCTAGGGGGAAAACAAATAATTAAAATAAAACTAGCCATCATAAAATTTCTGTGAAGACTGAAAGACATAATACTATAGGTATTAAACCCTCACATGCATTTGTTTAGTCTGAACATTTGTTTAGTCTGAACAATTCAATTTAAACTTCACTTTTCACCGCCTCTCAACTTCGCTAAGAACACCGTTTCACAAGGTTTTCTAATTTCTTCAAATAGTAAACTCTGTTATCTCACTGATGAGCATCTTCTTTCCTTCAATCCCCTTGCTCCAGATTTACCTATATTTGCTCAAAATAGAAACATTTATTGTATCAAATCCTTTCCTGGAACAAAGCAATTAAGCTGAATAATTAGAAATAATTTACAACAACTCTATATATTTAAAAAAAATCCACTGATAGAACAAAATACTTAGAATCTCAAAGAAAATAGTATTTTACCTAGTTTTAGTTTTACTACCCTGATAGGAAAACAGTAACTATTTAAAAGACTGCTATTCAAATTTCTTTAACAGGAAACTGATCAGTGTCCTGGATTTTAAGACAGCCATATATTTAAACTCAACTCTTCTTACAGAGAATACAAGTACTTTTTGCGTGCCAATTCAATGGCCAGGGAATCCTTTGTTACCTGAATTACATGGTTGTGTAGCTGATCATACTACTTCAGAGATTTTCTGTTACTTTCAAAATGCCATCCAAATTGTCTTACACAATACATGTCTCTTCTAAAATTGGTTATTTTAGACTGGTATGAACTTTATTATTTGCTAAAATTATAAACCCCCTAAAACAAATGAAGTGCAGACAATTCAAAGGACAGTGTAAAGGGCTGCAATATTTCTCTTAGCCGAACTAGAATGTGATGGAGGCGGGTCATCTATGTGTTACTTTCACTGGCTAATAAAGAAACTGCCTTGGCCCTTTGATAGGACAGAAAATTAGGTAGGTGGAGTAAACAGAACAGAATGCTGGGAAGGCAATGAGGCAGACACTATAGCTCCCCTCTCCAAGATGAATGCAGGTTAAGATCCTTCCCGGTAAGCCACGACCTCGTGGTGATACACAGATTATTAGAAATGGATTGAATCAATATGTAAGAGTTAGCCAATAAGAGGCTAGATATAATGGGCCAGGCAGTGTTTGTAAGAATACAGTTTCCATGTAATTATTTTGGGTAAAGCTAGCCGGGATCCGGGCGGGAACGCAGCCCGCTCGTTCCTTCCCAACAAGAATGTCTGTTGTATCACAGATATTATTTAGCACACATTCTTTCACACAGAAACTCACCATCCTGCTTCTGCTTATCAAAATACCAATCAAGGTCAAGATCCTGTCAAAGTGTACTTCTATAAACCCAGCTGCAAGCATTACATTATCCTTTTAAACTATACTACATATGGACTTTAGTCTCAAAAGGAAAAGCTTTATCTCACAGAGAAAGTTTTCACCAGATAGGGTGCTTCATGCAGTCTCCGTTTTCATGTAATCTCAGTATCTGGGAGTAGAAGCAGGAGGATCAGGAATTCAAAATCCTCAGCACAACAAGAAAAATTAAGAAAATAAATTTATTAAATATAAATATACATCAAGAAAAGAGAAAATATAAGTATAACTATAAAATAGAAGCATAAAAATCAAAATATTTAAAAATAAGTAATCAAATTTACAAAATTAAGAGCTAAATGAGATTAGTAGGAAATTAAGCATTTAATAAGAGGCAGATTAACTTGAAAACAGAATTTGCTTGCTAAACAACAAAACAATTAAAAAATACAGAAAAGGACAAATAATAGGGGCTGGAGAGATGCTCAGAGGTTAAGAGCACTAGCTATTCTTCTGGAGGTCCTGAGTTCAATTCCCAACAAACACATGGTGGATCACAACCATCCAAAATGAGATCTGGTGCCCTCTTCTGGCCTGCAGGCACACATGCAGACAGAACACTGTATACATAGTAAATAAACAAATCTTAAAAAAAAAAAGATAGATAGAACATAATTTGCATATACGCTGTGAGAGCATTTGGTTGTGAGGTCATCCAGAGTTTTGGGCATTTAGATACGTGGTCCTGATTGGTGGCACGGTGGACAGAAGCTTAGGAGGTATGTATGGCCTTGTTGAAGGAGCTGTGTTACTGGAGGCGCTCAGTTTGCTCTCACTCCTCTGAGCAACTCAGATGTGAGCCCTCAGCTCCTGCATATGCCGTCATACTTTGTTCCACTATCATAAACACTATCCCTTTGGTTCATAAATCCAAATAAACTTTTCTCTAAGTTGCCTTGGTCATGGTGTTTTATCACAACAATAAAAAAGAAACTAAAACATGGGGAATTCCTAAAACAGAAAAGAAAATGAAAGAAAAAATAAAATATGGAGAAAATCTAAAAAATTTTTAGTCCAGGAAGACACAAAAAACTCAAATTCCATATATTACAAATAAGACATGAGGCAAATACAAAAGCAGACTGGACCACATCAACATGTTGCCAAACTTGATAAAATCCAAATCAAGATTAAACCATAAAATTGGAATATGAAAGGCATTATCTTACAAGAAACAATGGCAAAAACTTTTGTTAATTTTCCAGTATTAACACTGGCAGCCCAATACAGTACTTCAAATTTTTGTAGTAAATTTTTTATTACTTTGGGCCTGAAATATTATGCATAAAATATCTTTCAGAAACAAGAACAAGCATTGTTTCAGACAAAAAGAAAATAAAAAAATTAACAGATGTTAAAAAAGTTCCATAAGGGAAAAAAAAGTGATCCCTATATACAGTGAGAAGGCAGTACAAAACCAAGCACTACTCAAAGGACAAATACATGGGCAAATCTAAATAAATACCAACAGTATGAGTAATAATAATGTCCAGTGAGTATTAATCCATATGTAAATGAGAATGCAAAATAATATAAAAAGCTGGGGAAAAGCAAGTTGAGTTTAGATGTCCTAAGTTCTTAGCATTATTAGAAAATAAGTAAAAGTGTTTTCAAAAAGCCTGCAATAAACCAATGATGCATATAGTAATCTCTAGAAGAACCACTAAAAGACCAGGATTATCATACTGCATAAGATAATAACATCCATATATTATAGAAATGCATATTTCCACAACAAGTGACTACAGGCAGTTACCTAACACTGACTATATGCTGAATCAACCATACCCCATTAAAAATAACCAAAAATGCTCAGAGTACATTACCTAGCCTAAATATAATTAACCAGAAAATTACTAACTTCAAGCTGGTGAGATGGCTTGAGGCTCTCGCTGAAAGTCTGACAAACTGCTATCAAACTCCACAGTAGGAGACAACCAACTGCCACAAGCTGTCCTCCACTCTACATGTGTGCTTGTGTTCTCTTTCTCTCACACATATGCATACAAAACAAATGTATTAAAAAATGACATTAGGTGTCAAAAGTCCCTTGACTACTTTTAGGTCGTAAGTTTAGAGAGAAGAGATTTCCAAAGACACACCTGGTACTATTCTAAGACATGAACCAAAATAAATGTAAAAATTTTAAAGTATTAATTATTCTTTACTAAAACTTTAAAGGTTACTAATTATTTATAAATTAAGCATTTTTGTATTTGTTAATAGCTTGCTAATTCAAAGAAGCAAATTAAAAAGTGGTAGCTCATCTACCAATTTTGACTTACAAATGGTGCAAGAGAATTGTCTGTATTCTGTCAATTATGTTTTAAATAAACGCTGATTGGCCAGGCAGGAGGTGTAGGTGGGAAAACCAGACAGAAAGTGGAAATGATGCAAGGAGAGCAGGAGAATTCTGGGAAGGAGGAAATTGATTGCTCCCACTCCTGCCCAGATCACCGAAGCCGCAGGATGTGAGCTGCCCCACTGAAAAAGGTACTGAGGCACATGGCTAAAATAGATCAGAAAAATGGGTTAATCAAGATGTGAGAGTTAGCCAGTAAAAAGCCTGACCTAATGGGCCAATCAGCATTATAACTTATAGAGATCTTTGAGTGATTTTCTTAGGGCTTGCTGGCTGTGGGGTACCTGGCGAGATAGATACCCCAAACAAGCCAGCCCCCTTCATGTTACAGAATGGCAACCATGTGGATAACTGCATCCACAGAAAGCCTGAGAAAGCTTGGGAAAGACTAGAGTAAAGCATTTCAGTTTTCAGCTGAAGCAGGAAAAAAGCTGCGCTGTTTTAAGGTGCCGGTTTTCTGGGCCATCCTGCCAGGGAAAACTCTTGACTCTTTAAAGCAGGCAGTTCTGATGGATACAATGTTGCAGTTTGCTTCCTGGCAAGGACCTTGAAACACCATAGGAGCTTTTGAGTGTTGTCTTCTCCATATTCCTTAGCAAATTAAAGACCCATGTGGTCAGAGAAAGAGAGATATACAGTAAAGAGAGATTCAAAGAGGAAGAAAACCTCTAAATGGTTTACAGTGTGTTAAAAATATATTCAGGCTTGAAAAAAAAGGTTTAAAGTCTTAAAATAAAAAAAAAAAAAGAAAGAGAGTAGTTGAGTGTGGTGATACACACCTTTAATCCCAGCACTGGGGAGGCAGAGACAGAGGGATCTCTGGGAGTTCAAAGATAGCCTGGTCTACAGAGGGAGTTCCAGGACAAACATATGCAGAGAACCTGTCTCAAAAAGCCAAAAGTTAAAAGTAAAAATAAAAGAAATAGAGGTTAAAATAAAGCTGCATAAAGATGGAAAATACACAGAGAATCTTGATACTGTATGCTATTACGCTCTCTTTGAATTGTTTAAATGCTGAGGAAGGAGCAACAGCTGCTAAAAGATCTTTGCTTATGAATGCTGCAGAATTAATCCAAGACAGGTATTTTGAAAATACCTTGGCTTCAAAATTGAAGTCAAAAGGTATGTTACATTGGAAAAGAGATTTTGCTTTTGTTTCCACAGAAAACGAGAGGCTCTGGATTTATTCAGAGTGAAGAAAAATCATTTTTGACCAAGGGAGACCACCTGAGCAATCTCCGGTAGGAACAGGTGGCCCAGATGTCTGAGTTCTTCATCCAGAACAGGTTCAAGACTGCTGCCTGAGATGATCAAGACTCACAGGACTTGATCATAACTCTAAATTTTCTTTAGGTCCCCATAAGATTAACAGCGCCCCCAACCAG